GTACGCTAGATTTTTTCAATCTAAGGTAGTGTTTGGTTGAAGGTTTATTTTAGGATTGATGGGAAAGTGTAAGTGGATATTGGAAAATACCACGTTTGATTCAGGTTTTTTCAAGAAATACCAGACAAATAGGATAGATGGGAAAATAACTTTTGTGTTAACTTTTGGATGAAATTCACTGTTACAGAATATCACTTGAGATGTGGTATTGTGAGATGACTGGGGAAGTGAAAAAACAAGTGCAAAGTTTCTCCCGAACATAGATTTTGCATATTTAAATAAATTTCCCTGGTAATATTTGGGTCAACTAAACAACTTTTTTTACCTTTTCCTATCAAACTCATTTTCCAACCATTTTCCTATCAATTACATTTTCCTAGTAAAAAAAAATTTCTCCCGAACCAAACACTACCTAATGATATGTTTGTTTATGCAAAGTACACAAACCGTACCAATCAACAGGGCCCCAAAAGATAAAATAAGTAAAAACAAGTATTGTTATTGGGTAATACTTCTATTATGTTGCATAAGAGAAGTATTATCTCATGCTCAAACAAAAGCTATGAGAGAGAAAAAAGTTAGAGGTGAGAAAAAAAAAATCTTGTGGGACCCATTTGAAAAATGTGAGTGTACGAGATAAAAAAAATTTTATGTAACATAAAAAAGGTAATTCCCATTATTATTAATACAATTTTCTTTGATTTAGAGTACTGTTAAAAGTTAATACCATTTAGAAATGTTGTTCAGTGTGCAAGCAATCATATTCTAAACCTGCCTATCCAGTACATATTGTCAATGTCATCGGTAATAAATTGGAGAGTGAATTCTCTAGTGTGTTCATTAATATGATCATATTATGTAATAGAATTTTAATTATTTATAGATAAATCAATAATAATGATCTTGTTATTTTCTATTCTATTTTTTCTCTCTCTCATTTTCCATTATCATTGATTTGTCTGTTAATAGTTAGGATTTTCTCACATCACATGATCATATTAATTAATATATGAAAAAATCCATTCTCATTAAACTAGGCTTTTTTTTTTTGGCTAAGTAGTTAACTGATTCGAGGAGAGGAAGGAGTGATGATTTTGAGTTATGATATTTGGTACCAGGCCTATCACAGCTTTGTTTGGGAGTTTGGAGGGGAAGGGAAGGAAGGGGATCCAAGGGGGAGGGAGGGGAAGGAAGAGGAGGAAATTGGAGGGTTTCTCCTTCCCTTGTTTGGGAGTAAAAAAAAGGGATGGGAGGATAATGGAGGGTCAATGAGATATTTTTACCATTTTATCCTTTTTTTAGAGTTAATATAATTATTATACTTTACAAATTAAATTAAATTAAATTTAAAATTTCTAAAAAAATTATTTATGTACTTTTCACAACACCAAAAAAGATTATATTTTTGATGAAATTTCTACGTTGCAAACGATGAATCGTCGGAATACTTTTCGTCGAAAAGCGACGGAATTTTTCAACCGATGAAAATTTTTACAAAAATAATCAAAAGTTTTGATGAAAATGATTTCCTCCATCAGATGCTTTAAACATAAAAGAATTCTTTCAAACATTTTGACGGAACATTTTTCGTTCAAAATTTCGATGGAAATGTGTTCTCATGAAAATTTTGACAGAAATTGTTTTGTTAGAAATTTTGAGGGAAATATTTCATTCAAACTTTCAACGAAATTTAGATTTTATAAAGAATTTTGACAGAATATTTTTTCCGTCAAAAATTTTTACGAAATAATTTTTTGTCGAAATTTTTTGACAGAAATGTGTTCCGTTGAAAATTTTGATGGAAATATTTTTTATCAAAAAATTTGACGGAAATATTTTTCGTGGGAAATGTATTTCGTTAAAAATTTCGACAAAAATTTTTTTTGCCAAGAATTTTAACGAAAATATTTCCGTCGAAAACTTTCGGTCAAATTTAAATTGTGTTAAGAATTTTGATGACATTTTTTTCGTCAACAATTTTCGATAGAAATGTGTTTCGTTAAAAATTTTGATGGAAATATTTTTCATCAAAAATTTCGATGAATATATTTTTTTGTGAAATATTTTGGAAAACTTTAGATTGCGTAAAGAATTTTAACAAAAAAAAAATTCGTCAAATTTTTTTACAGAAATAACTTTTGTCACAAATTTTGATGGAAATATTTTTCGCAAAATTTCGATGGAAATATTTTCCGTAAAAAATTTTGACGTAATTGTTTTACGTCGAAACTTTTTGATGGAAATGTGTTTCATCAAAATTTTGGACAAAAATATTTTCGTGAAAAGTTTCGACAGAATTTAGATTCTATCAATAATTTTGACTGAATTTTTTTTTTCGTACAAAATTTATGTTAGTGATTGTGGCAAAATCTGGTTCCGTCTCTAATTTTGTCTTTAGTTTTGACGGAAATTTTTTGACGTATATGATTTTCATCAAAAATTTCATCACTAACTTTTATGAAATATTTTTCGTCAATAAATTATGTCGGTATTTGAGACTTTTCTAATAATATCGCATTTAAAAATACTTTGCTTTCTCCGAGCCATCTTGTTAAGGAAGGGCGGCTAGGGTGGGAAATTCACACAATTATGTAGTTTTAACATTTTAATGCTAAGGGTAAAAAAATAATTTTTAACATTTTTCCCCTCAAACCCTCCAAATTGGGGGAACTTTAATTTTAAGAAGAATGAAGGTTTTGGAGGGTTTAGTAAAATTCTTCAAACTCTTCCCCTCCTTTTTTTAAACTCACAAACAAGGGAAGGGCTTTCTAAAACCCTCACTTCCCTTTCCTTCCCCTCCTAAAACCAACTCTCAAACAAAGCCTAAGGCTTTGTTTGGGAGTTAGTTTTAGAAGGAAAAGAAAAGGAAGGAAAGGGTTTTATTAACCCCTCCCCTTGTTTGGGAGTTTAAAAAAATGGAGGAAGGGAATTGGAGATTTTTGCAAAATCTTCCAAAACTTTCTCACCCTTAAAATTAAAGTTCCCACAATTTGGGGGTTTAAAAGGGAAAATATTGAAAATTACTTATCTACCTTTAGCATTAAAATATGAAAACTACATAAATATGAATCATTTTTAAATGTGACATTATTAGGAAAGTCTCAAATACTGACAAAATTTATCGACAAAAAATATTTCGTTGAAAATAGTGACGAAATTTTTGACGAAAATCATATTACGTCGAAAATAGAGATGGAATTTTTTTTCGTCGAAACTAAAGACGGAACAAGATTTGACCGTAATCACTGACAATTTTTTTTGGAAAAAAAACTCAGTCAAAATTCTTGTTAGAATCTAAATTCCGTCGAAACTGTCAACTAAAATATTTCGTCAAACTTTTCAAGGAAAAATATTTCCGTCGAAAATTTTGACGAAACACATTTCCATTGAAATTTTCAACGGAACACTTTTCCAGTGAAATTTTTTGACGAAAAATATTTTTGTAAAAATTTGTGATGAATAACAGTTTTGTAAAAAAATTTGACGGAAATTTTTTTTTGTCAAAATTCTTTACGAAATCTAAACTTCGTCCAAATATTGACAGAAAACTAAATTTGTCGAAATCTTTGACGAAAAAATTTTTCGTCAAAATTCTTTACAGAATCTATATTTCGTCTAAAGTTTTCGACGAAAATATTTTTGTCATATTTTTTGACGAAAAAAATTTCCTTCAAAATTTTAGACAAAATATATTGTCATCCAAAATTTTTGGCGAAAAATATTCCGATCAAAATTTTAGTTAAAAATCATTTTTATCAAAATTTTCAACGAGCACATTTCCGTCAAAAAATTTGACCAAAAATATTTCACTAAAAAATTTGACGAAAAATATTCCTGTAAAAAATTTCCATCGAAATTTTCGACAGAAATATTTCCCTAAAAAATTTTGACAAAAAAGTTTCTACTTTCGAAATTTTCATCAGGACACATTTTCCTCGAAATTTCGGACGAAAAATATTCTGTTAAAAATTTTAACGAAATTTTTTTTTCCGTCAAAATTGTTGATGGAATTTTTTTGCGTAAAAAATATTTAAGAAATTATTTTCGTCAAAACTTTTGACAAAAATTAAATTCCGTCAAAATTTTTGATAGAAAATTTATTTTTGTAAAAATTTCATCGGTTAATAAAATTTCGTTGCCTTTCGACGAAATGTATTCAGACGAAAAAGTAATTTTTTGATAAATTTTTCGTCGTTTGCAATGTAAAAATTTTGTCGAAAATATGATCTTTTTTAGTGGTGTGAAAAATATATAAATAATTTTGTTTAATATAATAATTACATTAATTTTTTTGAAAAGGATAAAATTGTGAAAATATCTCATCTACCCTCCAATTTCTCCCTTATCATTTTTTCTACTCCCAAATAATGAAAGAGAATACCTTTCAATTTTCTTTCCTTCCTTCCCCTTGTATCCATTTCTTTTCTCTCTAAACTCTCAAAGAAAACCTAAAGACTTTGAACATATCACCGGCCTTCCTCCACAAGGAAGATTAAATTGTATCATGATAAAATTTTGATCTAAATGAACAGGCATCCTTTCCTTTGAAACTCTGAGAAGGAAAAAGCTCAAATAAAGATAAAAATGTTATCAGAATGATCAAGACCATCCAAGTTTCACCAAGTAGATCGTGTGCACAAAACAGTATAAATTTGGGGAGCAAAAGTTGGGTAAAAATTTATGAAGATCAACGCTGACAAGAAACATCCCGTCTATTGATTATAAAAAATCTGAAGGACCCAAAAATAGATGCATAAAAAAAAGGATAACCATAAAAATACATCTATAAACAAAGGGTTCAAGCGTTCAACAGAAAGAGAGGTTTAGAAACATCAATTGCTGTCAAACAAAAAAACCCCTTAAATACTTTCCCAATATTATTTTTATCCTAAATTAGTTGAGTCAGTAATAAACCTAAAGGAAACACTCATCATCATTATCATTCTCATCATCCAATATTTATATATAACTTATTCAAAAACCATAGTACATTACACCATATTAATCACATACACACTTTGCATTGTTACAACTGCATTCTTTTTCTTCATTTAATCATTATACTTACTGAGATTTGGTCTGGGTTCAAATTCACTATTCGCTAGTGACTCTTCACCGTCATACTTAGTTAAGCTTGGCCTGGGTTCAAATTCAATGTTCACTAGTGGCTCCTTAGTATCATATTTAGTGAGGCTTGGCCTGAGTTCAAATTCATTATTCACTTTCACTAATGGCTCATCACCATTATATTTAGTGACACTGGGTCTTGGTTCAAAATCTTCCTTGAAGACCTTTTTTTCTATGGTAACTTGTGTATTTGTGACAAGAGGCTCTTCACATTTGTGCTTGAGTTGCTCTTGAGTCTTGGGGTTGTTTTCAGTTTGGATCTCAGATGTCAACTGAAGAAGACCTTGAATTCCTTCTGGCAGTTCCTGATCTTTCATTACCATTTTCCAATATTCCCCTGCATCTTTTCTTGATTCCACAGTAGCAGCAAACTTCACAAAAATTACAAGAACAACACAGAAAAAAAAGGGGGAAATGGTGGTCAGATTACTATCCCAACTCCCAATTCAAGAAGCCATAATACAGAATATAATTTCAAACCAATATTAGAAAATGAGATCATGATGCCAACTAATAAATAGAGTTGAAAACTAATTAGAGTCCAACAGATATTTATCATTTTGAAGTAGGGAAGAAAATATTAAAAATAACCTTGGACTGCATGAAATTTGAGTAAAGTAACGTAATGAAATTATTTTGTTGTGGCATGCTGCTTTTTCCTCATATTTAGTCAAGTTTATTTTATTTCATTCACTCCAAATTATTTGATTATTGATTGATGTTAAAACCAATTCATCTGAATCCCTTACTATTATTTAGAGGAGAAGGCAATAACAAACTAATGATAAGATAAGAAAGGATATCATTAATAGAAATTGTGAAGCAACGAAAGGAATACATACCAAGAAAACAAAGAAAAGAGGAAGCAAAGCAAGAGCTGGTCTCATTTTCAATATAAAAAGGAAGTCCTTGCTTTCTCTTTTTATTGTTTGTATGAATGTCGAATGATATCTCACTACCTATTTATAGTAAAATAACCAATAATAAGAGCAAGTATTAATGTATGAAGGGAATAACAAAAGGTGTTTGAAGAAAGTGGTTTTCAGTATAATTAGCAAGAAGGCAGTGAAAAATAAATGTCATTACATTTTAAAACAATGTACAGTTAAAGGACACGCACCACAAAATAACACATCACATATGCAACGCAAGACACTTACCCACAACCACACAGCACGTGCAACAGTAACACATTTCACAATTGGAGACAGTATATGCATGTGCTGTGGACACCTACACACACCACAACTTGCGAATGTCTCCAATATTGGATCGTACAACACACTCATTTCTTCAAGCTCCAGCAAATTCACGCACCGACACATGTCTTCCAAAAGAACAACACTTATCACAAAAATCAAAAGAAAGTGAAGAAAAACACAGACAAAGAATCAATTTGAGAAAGGAGGAGAAGTAATTTTAGTAATTAAAGTCGTGACTCCTAATGTCAGCAACACTGTATTTCTAATCTCTCGCTCTTGCCTCCTTCTCTCCCTGTTGCAGAATATGTGTAACGCCTGACCGCTTCAAGAATCAATGACTATCCACACATACTAACACATGACTTTTCAGTGTGCTTTTTTTTCACTTGCACACTTCCTGGGAAAACTTCCCAGGAGGTCACCCATCCCAAAATTACTGCAAATCAAGCATGCTTAACTATGAAATTCTTCCATTCTGGGCTACCGAAAAGTAGATGCATCTTGTTAGTATAGGTAGTACCAATTAATTCTTATAAGCTATCCCCAACTGTGCAGTCTCATACCTGCACAATCTTTGGAATCTCTCTCTTTCAGGTGTCGATTCGATTCATTCATGTAATCCCCCGCTGGAAGCCTGTCAAGAGTCGCTCCTTGTCTGTGCCATTTCGGACCATGCCCTTTCGCACCGGCAATCACTTCCCGCCCTTGTCAGCGCTCGGGGTGATACAAGCCCACTAGCTTCCACCTGATTCGTCCTCGAACCACACCGTACTGGAAGAGAGGCCCTGCTCTGATACCACTTCAAGAATCAATGACTATCCTCACATACTAACACGTGACTTTTCAGTGTACTTTTTCCTCACTCGCACACTTCCTGGGAAAACTTCCCAGGAGGTCATCCATCCCAGAATTACTGCAAGTCAAGCACGCTTAAATATGAAGTTCTTCCGTTCCGGGCTACCGAAAAGTAGATGCATTTTGTTAGTATAGGAAGTACCATAAGCTATCCAAACTGTGCAGTTTCATACCTGCACAGTCTTTGGAATCTCTATCTTTTGGGTGTCAATTCGATTCATTCATGTAACCCCCCACTGGAAGCCTCTCAGGAGTCGTTCATTGTTTGTGCCCTTTCGCACCATGTCCTTTCGCACCGACAATCACTCCCCGTCATTGTCAACGCTCGGGATGTTACAATATGCCAGCCTTCTTTCTGTTTCCAAGAGTTGCCTTTTTATAATCATGAAACCATATTTTTTAATTTCCCATAATATCTTCAATGGATTCTTCATTAGAATCTCCAATCATATCTGTAATCAAATCCTTAAAATCTCCCCTTTTATATTTCAAAGGAAAACTTTCCTTAAAAATATTCAAGAGAATCTTCAATAATATCTTCAATCAATTATATGATTCAGAAATCCAAAGCAAATCCACTTGAGCTCTCCAATTTATCTCTTTATTGAGTTGAAAATTACCACAAAATATTAGAATTTTTGTGAGAATCTTAATGAGAATAAAATAATAATTTAATTACAATTATCATATCTTTTAATTATTTTAAATCAATTTTATGCTCATATTAACCCTTAATACCAATGTTGTCAAAATTGAGTTTCTACATAAAAATGGAAAGGAATTGTAGAAGCGTAAATCGTAGAAACGACACGAAACGTAAAGTTTCTACTACTTAAGGTCAAGATATAAAATTATATATATATATATATATATATATATATATATATATATATATGATGTAAAAAAATATATATCACATAAGTCATACTCAAAATTCAATAAATAACTTCATATTTAAAAAATATAAATCACATAACTGTATAAGACATAAGTCCAAAAACATAAAAAGAGTTTAACAACTCTTATAACCATGTTCCGAAACATCCAAAAAATAAAGTTTAACAACTCATAAATGGAAATACATCGACCTCCCGCAAGATTATTATTTGTTTTTAGATAGCTAGAAGAAGATACTGTACATTTGATTTGGGGAAAATGGAAATAGAATTTATTTATTTTTGAGAAAATAAAAAATCAGGTCATGGGTCAAATGTTGACCCGATTCAGTTTTTTGGTTTAAGTAAAAACGTAAAAAATTATGTTTCTACCGTTTTATGTTTTTGCAGTGAGTTTATTTTTACAGGAGTGAGTTTTTACTTGTGTTTTAATACGTATCACTTTAATAAAAACGAAAAAAAAACACTAGTTTTTAACAACAATACTTAATAAATAATAAATTAGAGACTTATCATTAGCTTGTCAGAGCATACCTTATCCTTATACTGTATTTTACTGTCAGAGCGAACAGGTTATATAGGATTCCACTTGCTATGGTTGTCTGTCACTTGGATACTTATAATGGGGGCATGGTCATGTTGCATTTTTTTTTTTAATCTAAGAAGGGTTCGCAGAAATGAGAAACATCTTGCATGGAATCAATATGTTGTACAGGTTTAAATCTCTAAACAGCATTCAAGTTTCTGTCTGCTGAAGTTACTAATCCATATTTTTTTAATAAACGGTGGTTATACATGTAGGAATCCAAGGTTCAAATTTTAGTAATTAAAGTCGCGACTCCTAAAGTCAGCAGCACCGCAATTCGAATTAATATAATCGAACACTTGTTTGAATTTTCTGATTGATGAATCCTGCCAATGCAGGTTTCTTCTTGGGGCGTTTGGTACTGAAGAAATTTTTTTTGTATCATGAAATTACGATTATCAGATATATAGCTGGAACAAAAATTGTCTGGAAATTTTACGAAAAAAATGTTTGGTAGGACAAAATATTACCGAGAATATTGGTTAATTTTTGTGAATGAGTGTTTGGTTGAAAATAAAATATTGCTGGAAATATGATAAATTTGACAAAATTACACTCGTCAAGTATTAGCTCCACTGCAGCTTCCAATTAGTTTTGCCTAGCGTAGCCTTCAGTTAGCTTTTGCTTAGCTAAGCTTGTATCAGTTTAGCTTTCTGTTACAGATGTCAGTTTGTTAGCTTTCTGTTCTGCTTCTGTTAACAGATGTCTTCTCATAAGAGTGCTGAGTCACTCATGATCTGTTAACAGATGTCTTCTCATAAGAGTGCTGAGTCACTCATGATTCTTATAGTATATAAACTACATATCCTGTATTACATTTGATAATTCATTCAACACATGCAAAATGCAATTGCTCTCTTTCTTCTTCTCTCCAAATTCTCTCGACTCTTCTGCATTTCTTTCTTGGTATCAGAGCCTCACCGTCCCCCACTTTAAAGTAGAATTAAAAATAAAATAAAAAAGCACAAAAAGGTAAACCGAAAATGGGCCTGTGCAATTTCCACGCTTCTAGCCTAAAGGGCTCTTGCGTGAGGGGGCGTGTTGAGATATATAGTCCCACATTGATTGGATGGGCAACTAATATGGCCTTTATAAGGCCTTGGGCACTCCCACCCTTGAGCTAGCTTTTGGGGTGGTGTATCCCACGGTTCTTAACTTGGTATGGTATCAGAGCTCTCTTTCTGAGGGCCTGATACAAGCTCACATCATGTCTTCCGCAACTCCATCTCAAGATTCAATGGCTGAACACAAGACTACTACATTGCTGTTTAATCACCAGATCTCTGTTAAACTAACAGAGAAGAATTTTTTGCTTTGGAGCCAGATTGTAGAACCGGTTATCATGTCTCATCAACTGCATCATTTTCTTGTCAATCCTAAGATTCCGCTACAGTTTGAATCAGAACTGAATCGAACTCAAGAAATAGTTAATCCAGTCTACACTGATTGGATCAAACAAGATCAAATGCTTCTTTCTTGGTTACTGTCAACAATTTCTGAAGAGATTCTCAATGAAATTCTAGGAGTTCATCATGCTTATGAAGCCTGGGAACAGATTCACAAACTTTTTCATGGAATGATGCGTTCAAAGTTACGCCAACTCAGATCTGAAATTAGAACTGTCAAGAAAGGTAACAAATCTGTGGTTGAATTTCTTCGACATGTAAAGACATTATGTGATGAACTAAAGGCTATCAAGAATCCAGTCTCAACAGATGAACACACAGAAATAATTTTAGATGGACTTCCACCTGAATTCAATGCTTTTGTCTCCTCAGTTCGTGCACGAGAAAATCCATATGCTCTTGATGACTTGAGAATTGAACTCATAGCATATGAAATGATGCTAGCTAAACAGAATGAAACTTTGTTGTCTGAATCAATGACAGTAAATCTTGCTCAAAAAGTTCCAAACTCGAATCCGAATGAAAATTCTAGCATTGTTGCTCCTCTGACCTCACCTGCGTTTGATGAACAATTCAACAATGGCTCGAATGCTGCTAGCAGAGGTAGAGGAAGATCATTTGGCAGAAGCTATCGTGGTAGAGGCCGTGGAGGTCGTAGCAATCTTCAGTGTTAGCTATGCTACAAGTTTGGACACAATGTTCATAATTGTTGGCATAGGTTTGATGAACATTTCACTCCTACACATCCTGAACCAGAAGCACCTCAATATTTCAACACAAACTCATACCAGAGGACATTTCAGTATGTGAGACCTCCTGTCAGCACTCAATCTCCACAAATTATGCTTACCTCACTTCCAGCACAACATTCATCCTCACAGCACAATGCTACACTCCAACGAGGACTGTTGCCTACTCCATCTCAAGCACCAACATTGGATTGGTATCCAGATTCAGGTGCTTCACACCATGT